CCATCTTGACCCTATATGCACCCCCTAGCACTATAGTGCTGCACCCCACAAAGGCTAAAGTCCATCCAGCAGCACGTTTGACAGCCCGTAACTCGAGTCTTCGAGTCCGCTAGGAAGCCCAGGAGGCCAGGACTCCATGATTTCCATCCCCACTCCCTCGTAGACGTACTACACAGGAGTTGGACCGACACCTCGACTCCGCCTACGCAGCCGTTCCCTGACGCCTTTCTGACTTCTGAACGACGATTCAACTGGACTCGGCTCCTCTCGACGCCATTATGGCACCAAAGTTGACTGGTACATGGTAAATAAATAGATGCATCTTGACTTCTTTAGTACTAGTTCAGTTCCTAAATTTATTTATCAGAGATAGAATCCTAAATTTTGTTACTGGATTATTAGGCCTTGCCATAGGATTTCCATTTGAGAAGAATTGGAGTGAAGTTGCACATCTGCTCAAATAAAAAATCTTGTTACTGTGTGAACTTCAAAACAGCACATCTGCTCAAATAAAAAATGACATCTTAAACTGCACCAACCAACCTACCATCTCCAGCAAATCGACATGCACACTGTTTAGACATATACAGCAGGTTAACAAGTATCTTGGTCACACTAAAGGAATAACTAATTAAGTCAAGTACTGAAAGAATACCTTATCTGAAATTTTTAGACCAAATACCTCATCTAATTTTTTTTAGACGAAATACCTTATCTGAATTAACTTATGTGTGTGCGCATCAGACAAACCTTATGACAGGAATGTATCATTCCTAACTAAATGAATGTGAGCATACATAAGAAAATACATTATTTCATTCTGGATCCATTTTCCTAATAAACCAATGTGAGCATACATAAGAAAATGCACACTCTGAGAAGAGTTTCTGTACCTCATCAAATTCAAATGCTTTCTCATTGACCTGCTATCTGCTGCTGCTTGCCCTTAATCTCGTCACAACCTAAGCTTGGAGCATTAGAACCACCGTCATGTTTCTGGTTACAGTTCAGCATGTAAATGTTAGTAAGCAAAGTTCTATACACAACAAACGAATGCAATCTGCTTACTTTTTCTGTTCTTGTATATATCTAACACACTTCAGAGATTTACATTCCTTAAAATTAAATCTTCATTAGCAACAGATGGTGTCACATATACAGCCATAGGAGTATTGGGCATTAGTTACTAGATGGAAATTGGAATGCTACATGTCGCACTTAACTGCCACTATACTGCCAATACAGTGGATTATACAATGGTAGACAAACAAGAATTCAAAAGTAGCATTTATCAGTAACCCTAACTCAGAACAAGTGAGATTTGCAGCAAAGAGAGTAGATCTGAGAGGGAGGTTGGGAGATAGGGAGAGGGCATCTTGTGCAGGTGGGAGGGGACCATACGGCGGCGAAGCGGGCTCGGGGGAGGACCTTGGGAGCGGCGGCGGCAAGGGCTTGGGGAGGCCCCGGGGGGCGGCGGCGGCGCGGGCTCAGGGAGGACCTTGGGGGCGACGTCGGCGCGGGCGGCGTGGAGGCCCTCGGGGCGGCGTCGGCACGGTCAGCGACGAGGCCCCTGGGGCGGCGGTAGCGCAGGCGTTGGGAGGGGCCTGATCGGGGGGGCAGTGGGAGCAGGGGATCGAACGCGGAGGGCGGGCTAGGGTTTGTGGTCTTTATGTTCCCGAATGTGGGACCCACGGCGGCTAGTAAGGCGCGGCGTCATTTTTTTCGCATGAGTTGCGCGCCCGGGAAGACTCCTGTCGGGCTGGGCCATCAGGCTCACGAAGGTGTTCCTGTCGGTTTGTATCTTTCCTGTGGGTTATTAAAAACAGACAGGAGTATTCCGAGGTAAACCTGTCGGTTTTTAACAGCCGACAGGAATCGTATGAAGTTCCTGATGGTTTGGGCTGAACTGACAGGAGAAATAGAAGCCGACAGGAAAAACCTCTAGTCTGGTAGAATTTTCCTAGGTCCTAGATGGCTAGCTCTATAAAATAGGGTCGTCCCACCACAACACTGCACCTTTGACCTACTTTTGTTTATACGGGCATGCATGCTTCATGTTTATCCCTGCCACAACTAACTTAGGTAAATTGTAGCATGCCACTATATTTGTGGAAACAAACAAATTGGCATGCCATAGTTGTTTCAATTAATGAGCAAACAACTGCCTCACTATTGAACACATTATTATGATATGTCTGCAACTTATGTTTCACACAGAAAAAAAAATTATTGTAACATTCTTATTTTTACAGCATAATCAGGTTTCCAAAATATAAGTGGTTTAATAGCTATCCAGCTATAGGGAAGCGTCTTTAGACATTATATATGATATATTATAAGCACGAGAGTATATTTTGATAGGTGATCAAGTTGGGAACGACTTTGGAACGTGAGGGGACCTTTTTCGTTGAAACGTGGCATATCATAATTGCATGCGCGTGAGAATAAACAAACGTGACACACATATGATTGAGTTGTATTATGATGCACGTTTTTTGGTAAAGAAAGTACTCTGTTTTGATCTATACGTATTATGTCATGTGTGCTTGTAGTCTTGTCACAAGTGACTTTGGAGCGAAGTGATTAGGGCAGTTACGCGTGAGACCTGAGGTCGCAGGTTCGAACCCCCACGGCCAAACGTGCGCATACTTTGCATGAAAAATCGAGTGACTTGTGATTATGCAAATCAGATGATTATTGTTGTAGGAATATAATCGTACATACATAAAACCTTTCAATACATTGTTCTCTAGCAAAAAAAAATATAGGGTATAATCTCAATTCCTTTGGTCCATGCAGGCTGGTTGTTGGCGTGGCTTGTTTCATTTGATTTGTATGGAAACGGTAGTGACTTCATTGTCTAGAGGATGGAATTTACAGCAGGCAACAGTGTCTAACTTGGGAAGCAAGGAGTACATGTATGGCTGTTTGTCACAAAAGGTTTGTGTATTAGTACTATTATAAAATTCAAAAAGCTTATTGTACTTATGCAAAAGGTTGGTCGAAAAAGTTTGAACAATTGCATAAGATTTGGTTGTGTAATATATATACTATAATCAGTTGGGGCTCCTTGACCCTCTTGATTCCTAAAAAAAGATTTGGTTGTGTAATCTTTTTTTTTTCAAAAAAGGGTGACGTCTATATAATGTGCATCCATTCACGTTTATATGTTACATGTAAAATTGCAGCTTAGCTTGGTTTCCCTCGTTCATTTGCTCCATTTAATTTTTCACACTTAGCACCCTATTGAAGGGAAACCGGTATGCTATGCTGGAACAGATAAATCTAGTGTGTTCAGCTAAGATATCATGTGAGGAGACTATAGATGCTTACCACAAGACGAGCAACATAGTGGAAGAAGAGTTGGAACAACTTGCTCCAATGTCGTGCGTGTCGATGAAGTGGAAGTACTTTGGAAGTACTTGGTCTGACCCTTGAAAGATTGGATCGGGCCTTCATCAATCTGGCGTGGAATGACACTTCGCCAAACACAAATCTGTCATCTCTATCCTGCACCACTTCTAATCAAGTTCCCCTCTAGGTTGAAATCGCTACTTTCCATACACAAAACAAATATCTTCGGTTTTGAGAACTCTTGGACCTTGCAACCTCGTTTCCTGGAAACCGTCTCTAATGCCTGGCACATGAACAATACCCCTCGGCATCCTACTGCTGCTTTCGTTCGGTGCCTCAAACGTACCAGGGCGGCTGCAAAGATGTGGCGCAAACGCCATGTTTCTTGCTCCCAGGGTGAGACCGACTGCAAGCTTGTCATTGATCTACTGGACAGGATTGAGGAATCTCGTCGCCACACTCAAATGGAAACTCTTCTCCGCTCAGTGGCTGTCAGGATCCTTTCTAGGACTGTCAACAAAAAACTGCAATTCTAGAAGCAACGAAGCAAAATCCGCGCTTCCATCGAAGGAGATGAAAATACTAGATTCTTCCATGCCTGTGCCAGTCAATGCCTTCGTAAGAACAATATCCATATCCTTGAACATGATGGTTGTGAAGTTACTAACAATGACCAGAATGCAGATGTGCTTCACACCTTCTTCACGGGTCTCCTCGGGGCGGCGCGCGAACCCGTTTGATGATTCAGTTTAAATTCAATTTACCCCACTACTACACGTCCTCTTGACTTCTTGGATGGGCCATTCGATCTTCCAGCCCAGGCCCCGATGGTTTTGGGCCTTCGTTTTACAAACTCTCCCGGTCCATCGTTTCACCTGCTGTTTTCTGTGTCTTCCAGGTTTTTCATTCCAACAATGCTGATCTTGAACGGATTAATCTATCTAAATTGGCTAATAAGACCCCATTAATAATCTAACAAACCGATCACAAAAGGAGGACCAAACTTTGTTGAACTATCGCAGAAAAGAACCTTCGTGAACAACAATTGGTGCAGCAAGATATATGCTTTGCAGTTCCATGAACATCTACCTGGAAGTAGTCGATTTGCATCAAGCACCACGAAGTAGTCGATCGTATATACTGGAGCATCCCAAGCAAGCGGTCCATGTGTTCGCGTGCAAATATATGAGATGCCTCTCTTATATAAGCACTATGAGAGATGAGCAGAAATAACATTGGCTAATAAACACAGTTACTTCGATGAAACAAAACCACGATAAAAAGGAGGACCAAACTTCAGTTGACCTGACGGTGAAAATAACTTTCTGAGTAGGGAAAAATCGAAAAAATTGTAAAAATGACACTCGAAAGATTGACTCCTCGATTATGATAACACTCGGGTGGATGACAAGTGGGACCATCTATGTCTATAAATGTGGGTCTAGTGTCAAATCTGCAAACGGCCTATGTTCTCTCAATCTATTCTACCCTTAATTTGACACCTTCGATAGACATAGACTCAAAGTATATCTTGATGGCCCAAGCTGGTTTTTCTGAGTACTTTGTTTATTTAAGCAATTGCAGCAACCCGAGACGCATAGGTACAGGCCACGGCAACTCCGTCATTTTGATTGCGGACATGGCTGCTAGCTCTCAATGCAAGAGAAGAGTCGGGAGATCGGTGACCGCAGCTTTTGCACTGGCGGTGGCAGCTCCCATGGATACGCCGGCCCTGCGTACTTGTTCCTGTCATGCCCGCGGTCGACCTCCATAGTCTGGAGCACGACGGAGAAGAGCCACGTATTCTCCCGTGGTGTCAAGAGGACGTGCGTGTGGTGCGCGTCCACAATAACTGCCTCCTCCTGGAAATAGCCGTCCTCGCGGCCAGGCAGCCCGCGGGTGGCCTCCCGCAGCCGCACAAGACGCTCCACCACCCACTTGTCGTCACTGCCATGGATCCGAGCGAAGACCTTGAGGTCGTTGTCAATCACGCGGACGACGCGCAGCACGCCGTCCTCCTGTCCTCCGCCGATGACCCGGAAGCTGCATCTTCCGTGCGATCCGAGTGTGGCCTCCGGCAGCGTGACCATCGAGAACCCCGCGGTGGCCTCGTCGAGAACGAGCGCCGCGGCGCCGGTGCCTTCGATGCCCCAGTAGAGGGAGCCACACGCGCGGCCGGCGAAGTAGAAGGACTCGACCGTGCTGGGAACGTGGATCTCCTCGTTGCCCCAGGCCCTCTTCACGACGTGCCAGTCGCTTCCGACGGAGAAGACGCTGCTCCTCCAGGCGCCCTTCGTCACCTCGCTCCCCACAGAGAATACGGAGAAGACACTGCTACTCCACGCGGCCTTCACCTTGCTCTCCGTGGAGAACATGCAGGCCACTGGCACGCCACGGCTGGAACTGTAGGAGTGCGGCCGGAGCAGGGCCGCCATGATTTTAAAGTTGGACAAGTTAATGCCGCCGCCGCCGCCGACGAAAAACCGTCTGGTTTTGTCGCCATCGAGCAGGAACAGGCCGAGGCACCTGTGGCGGCCTTTCAGATCTTCCGGCCGGCAGGGGACTTCCTTGTATTGCCGTGTCATCGGCTCGCAAACGACGAGTCCTGGTTTTGCGGCAGCTTTGGCGTTGAAGATGTTGGGGAACTTGACGCCGCGGTAGAGGAGGAGGAGGAGGCTGCCGCGGCTATCTGCGATCTCCCAGCCACCGTCAGTACCGCCGGGGAGAAAATCGAGGGGGAATTGGTTGTTGCCGCTGGTCGTCGATTGCGATGGGACGAAGACGTGGTTGCTACCTTCCTGCGGCGATCCATAATTAGGGTCGACGGTGTGGTAGTACCATGCGATCGCCTTTGGTGCCGGCTGGGTAGTAGATGCCATCTGCTTTGGTTGCCCTGAGCCGCCAAACGCCTATCTCGGCTTTCTCGAGGGTTACAAACGAGATATGATGGTCGGCATGCAACTAACAACATATAGGTCGGAAGGATGGATGTGTCGTATATAGATTGGATCCACAAAAACTTGGACTCGTGAAAAGTTTTTGTCCGACTCGGCCCGCCCGTCCCTCGAATCCACGTCCCGCATCTCTCCCGCACGGTTTGCCCCTACTTGTGTCGCCGCAGCCGCTCAGCCGCCCTCACATCTCAAACGCCATCCCCAACCCCATCCAGGACACAGACCCTGCTCCATCCACCGCGATTACGCTGTCCGTGCTCAGCTGCCAACTCATGGCGTCCTCCGTGCCTTCACGACGATGCCTCCCTCGTCGTCCACAGAGAAGGAGGTGGGCGGGTCCCCGGCGACGCGTTCGCCGGCTTCGCACGGAGCAGCGTCATGTCAACGCCCTTGTCTTTGCGACATATGAATAATCTTTTCCAAATGGGCCGGCACGGCACGGCGAGGCACGGCACGGCGGCCCGCCGTGTCGTGCCTGTTAGTGCCACCGTGCCTAAGTGGCAGCCTAGGCACGGCACTATGGAGGGGAAACCGTGCCGTGCCGTGCCAGCAGGTACGGTGGCACGCCAGTGCCCGTGCTGGTCCAGGCACTAACACATTTTTAACCCAAATTTATCAGCACAAGTGTACAACTCAACTAGTCAGGAAAACACAGCAAACACACAGAGTTAAGAAAATAGGAATATATTTGGAGCATGTGCAATGGCCGCCTCATTAAAAACTTGCTAGGTAAAACTCACCTTTGTGAGAAACCCTAGTCAGAAAAAAAGTACAGCCTAGCTCCATTAAAGCTCAATGTTCTTACATTGTCCAAGTCCAAGTTCTCATATTACAGAGGCAAGTTCAAGCTAAATGTAAAGACTAAACTAATAAAGATATGCTTCAAGCTTCCAGTTCAAGCTCCCAGCTGGCCAGCTGCAAAAGAAGAACAGAGTTAGCATTAGAAGCATTGATCAGTTAGCAAAAGAAGAAGAGGAAGTTAGGGTTATGATTTACCTTGGCGGCTGGGGCACTAATCAAGATAAAGCTCTTCAAATGTTTCCTCTAGCTCCGGGTCCTCCACATTGTGCTGCAGCTTTGCCTCCGCCAACTCCCAGTCCTTAACGCAGGTGAGCCACTCCACCGTCTCCGGCTTCAGCCTCCTCCGCCGCTCCTCGATGATCCTACCAGTCATACTAAACGTAGATTCTGAAGATATGGTAGACACAGGAACAGTTAAAACATCTTTAGCCATGATAGACAGCACTGGATATGTCAGTTTGTGCTCATGCCACCATTTCAAGATGTCAAATAAATCATCCAACTGGCTAACAGTGTCACAATCCAAGTATGAGACAAGTTCACAAGCATTAGAAGCTGTAGAAATAGCAGCATGCAGCAAAGCAGTAGCAGATGTATCTCTAGACATATTAAGAGAGGAATGCAGCAGTGAAGTACCCCCACCAGAAGGACTAGGTGTATCATCATCATAAATTTCATCCCAAGCAGACCTTTTCTTATCAGACAGGTTTTGAGGGACAGTCCTCCTCAACCTAACAGCTCCATATTTCTCCTCATATTTATTGAAAACATCAGTAAGCCTAGCTCTAGTGCCAACCTGGTAAGCACTGTAATCTGTACTGGTAAGGTTCATCAACATCCTCAGCACTTTTGCAAAACCCTTCATTTTAGCTCTAGGGTCCAAGATGAATGCAAAAGAATAGAGCAAAGGTATGCCCCTCCAATATTTATTATATTTGTCTATCATAGGTTGAATCACATTTCTCAGGTGAATGTCATTACTATAATTGTTCAGGTGTATAGCAATCTTAACCAGATAATGAAGCATAAGTGGAGATGTAGGATAGTAAACACCAGACAATGCAACAGTAGCATCATAGAACAGTTTAAGAAACATAAATACTTTTTCAGCAACAGCCCAATGTTCTTTAGTTAGAAGCAATTCACTATTCTCACCTCTAGGATAATTGGCATGTATGAAAGTAGTGAAAGGATCTTTGTGAGGAAGCAAAGTCTTAAGCATTAGATATGTAGAGTTCCACCTTACATCCATGTCCAACTGAAACTTTCTAGGTCTAACACCCGCTGCAATGCAAAGTCTTTTGTATGCTGCAATCCTCTGATTAGATGAGTTTAAAAATGATATTGCAGTTCTAAAAACTTCAATCAAAGGTTTAAGATAATTAAGTGCCTCCTTGACAATCAGGTTGATTATATGGCATGCACAACGCTGATGCAAGAACATAGTACTAACAGCAGATTTAGGTTCAGGATGTATTGGATCCTCTACAGGTACCTCAAGACCAAGATATTTAGACAAAACAGGTCTAAGTTTTTGCATGGCAGAAACATTAGATGAAGCATTGTCCAAAGTAACAGCAAACATTTTTTAGCAACACCATAATCACCAAGAACAAATGCAACTCTATTAGCAATGTTCTGTCCATTATGGGAACAATCAATAAGCACAAGACCAAGCACCCTCTTCAGTAAAGAAAGAACAAGAACGGTTAGGGTTAGGGTTTATTGCGGATTCTTACCTCAACAACGCCAACGACGTAGACGGAGCTCGGAGTAGCTGCGAATCAGCGGATCTGAAGAAAGAAGAAGAAAAAGATCAGGAAGAGAAAGCATCTTCCGTGCCGGAGCTGCCGGAGGGCGAGAAGAAGAAGAAGATGAGTGCTCTTACCTGCATCTTCGGAGCCCCGGAGCTGCCGTAGGGCGAGAAGAAGAGGTGGGGACGGCGGTGGGTCGCCATCGCCCGTCGGAGTCGTCCTGCGCCGTCGGAATCGGAGAGGAGAGCCAGAGAGAGCGAGAGGAGAGCGCGGCGGGGAAGGGCGAGAATGATTTAGGGTTTGGGGTGCGAGGGGGAGCCGGCCGACGACGCTGCTTATATACACCCCCACCCCAATGGCGGAATCCAACGGCTAGAATCACAGGGGTCGGAGGATCCGACGGCCATGATGGCTCGAAGCCGTGCTGATGCCAGGCCAGGCCTTTTTTCGTGCCGTGCCTCGTGCTGGCCCATGGACCGAATGTGCGGCCCAGGCACGGGCACGGCTGTGGGCCATGCCAGGCACGGGCACGATGCCTAGCAGGCCGGGCCGGGCTAGTGCCGTGCTTTTTAGGGCCGTGCCCGTGTTGGCCCATTGGGCCTGGCCCATTTGAAAAGCTATACATATGAAGTGTAGCATGTTTTGTTGTTTCATTCATGATCCAATATATGCCTAGATGAGTGAATGCAATGTTTTTGAAAATTGCTTGTCTAGATGCATGGACTGAATATTGTTGAGAACCATTATATGTTTTATGTTTTTTTTACATTTAGGATTTTGGACAAGCTCAACTCAATTCATATGCTCTTTGTTTCTTTGAATGATTTGATTTTGTTAACGCCCTCAAATTTCTCCTTATCACTTGGCTACTAACTATGTATGAAACCGGCACTAGTGTGAACACAACATAGTGGAGATGTGCGAACCGAGCTGGTTGGGTTCCTTGTGGTGGAACCTACCCACCCGGGTTCAAGACCCCGACTTGACATGGGTACTCGCATTTTCCTGAATCTATTCAAGGTTTAACGGCTCTATTCTTTAAGTGGTAGGCGACGTGCCTGTCGATAGCAAGGTGCCTGTGAGCGTCTATGTCTTTAACTGGGTCTCGCAAAAAAAGCATAGTAGAGATGTGCCCATGTGTGTGTGATGAATGATTCACACAAGTGTGAGAGGTTTGAGGCCTTTCTGGTTGAGTCATATTTTATATGTGCTTAATTATGCTAATGGCTAACCGGAGGTATCATGTTGTGTTGTGTTGAGTGCGCTGTGAAACATGTCTCCTGCCTTGTGAATGTGCAAGTGTTGGTGCACCAAGACAGTCGACAGCGATGGTAAAGGTCAAGTGGCGGAGTCCGTGCACGATGGACTAAGGGCACTGAAGGACAGACGAGATGGTTTGGACTGAGGGACTAGAGGACAGAGAATGAAGGGCTCATGAAGAGCAAGAGTACATGGGTGACAAAGACGGTGTCGACTAAGTCAAGGAGAGGATGATGGCATCGTGGCACTTGGCGGATGCCGGACACGCAACTACATGGGTGATGTAGATGGCGTCGGTCAAGTCAAGAAGAAAGGCAAATGATTCAAGCTTGGTGGAGATCGGACATGCATCGACATTCTTGGAGGGTCTCTCTCACTTTTGTGTGTCCGTGAGAGAACACTACTACAAAAAACATTTGTAGGGGCGGCTGGTAAGTCTTTGTAGGGGCGGTTTGGCCAGCCGTCCCTACCGAATCGTCTCTACAAATCATGCATTTGTAGGGGCAGTTCTCAGGCCGTCCCTACAAATCAATTTGTAGGGGCGGCTCCTATTACCAGCCGCCCCTACAAATCAATTTATAGGGTATTTGGTAACACTAGCCGCCCCTACAAATACTTGTTTGTAGGGGCGGTTCAATCTAGAACCGCCCCTACAGTACGTTTTCCTGCCAAAAAAAATTTAAATTTACAATTCAAAATCGCGTTGCCGAACGTCCTGCGACCAACGTTCCCAACCGCGTTCGCGTTGCCGAACGCCCCGCGACCAACGTTCCCAACCACGTTCGCATTGCCGAACGCCCCGCAACCGCGACTACAAGCACAAGAGTATTATATAAACTACAATTACAAGTCCAATTCACTAGAATATATACAATCCATCATTAAATATACAAATTTCATACACATTGTTATCAACGTCCTAGAGTTAGCCTTTCAGTCTCACGAAGGTGTTGGTACTGAGGATTTCTACCTAAGTCAGACTCTCGGTCATGGTAGGCGCCTTTGACGTGTACAATCTGGTCCAATATGAAGTTGCAAAGGTCACCGACGAGCTCTAAGAGTTGGTTATCCTTGTATGGGTCTCTTTTCATTCCTTTCTCTTCTCTCCAC